GCTATGTCGGGGTGCAGCTTCATTTCACTTACTAACACTTCAAATTGTTTTTTGTTGGTGTGTTTTTGTYTCTTATCTCTAAAATATCAATTTAAAATATAAATGATTGCGTCATTAGCAATTGTGTTTAAAATTACTTACAAATTATCCATTTTTGTAAGAATTCCGCAACTCACTCACCAACGGATTGATTTCGACACAAATTTTCGATATTGCGGTATCAATGATTTCGAAATTAGCGACATCTATGTGCCGCGGAAAGCATTTTATCAAGTCGGTAAGTGAGTTCACTTCGATCGAAAATTTTATTTTCGATACGGTTTCAATGATTTCAACGCAAATTTTTTCGATCATATCGAACCATATTTCGATCGAAACGAATTCAATGATTAGGCCCAATATTATAAATGATCAGGGTGATGAGACGAATTGAAATCCGAGGGACAGTGTGTCCGTCCGTCTGTGCTCGCAATAACTTGGGATATTTTGGTGTTGTTGTTGTAACGGCAGAAATTCTGCCGAGTTGACAGTCCTTGGCCGGATAAAAATCCGGGTCCGCTCCGGTTTTCGTAGACCCGAATGTCGTGGGAACGGATGAAACTTGGTACACGCGTTCCTTGGCAAAAAAAGAACGAGTTCTTAGATAGGCGTAATTGGACCACTTCCACGCAGACAAAACACCATAAACCTATAAAGCACCATATCTGAGCACTTAATTAGGTATAGTTAGGGTCACCTCAGGATAAAAATTTTTGGGAAAGTGGATGAAGCCCCGTCCTCTAATAAGTTTAATGTATATATGTATATATACATATGCATATATCTTATACTACTTAAGCTACAACAACTACTATCACCTAGCATTTATAATATAGATTCTCCTTAAGCCTTCCAGCCCTCGGTTATATCCTTAATTGCGATTTCGGTTTCGCATTGCTAGGAAGGTTAAAATCGTGGATATGGTCATATGCCAATTTCTTGAGACTCTCCACATCATCAGCTGGTAATTTTTAAGATATGTAACTTTAAAAAAAATGTCTGTATTGTAATAAATCAGTGATAAAAAATTATTAATTGTCATTGGCTTACACTAATAATAATAGCTGCACCCCTACTGATTAATACTTCATTTTGTTTTTATGTTTCAGATATTCAGAAGAGTCAAAATCAACAACGGCACCGGGAATTATCTTTTAAGATAGCTTTTTTTTGACGCCATTTTTAATATTGTTAAAATTTTTTTTAACAAAAAAAAATTTGTACTTTCATAAGTGTATAAATAAACTGTAAAAATTTTAAATTGATTTCTCTTTTTTAAACCTTAAAAAAAAAATGCAGAAAACGCCCTTAATTTGTGGGTTCTAGACCACCGGGACCTCTTAACAAAAACAAATAATTAAAAATATGTTTACACAAGGCCTAAGTGGTAAGCAGAATACCTCAAATTTGTATATTTGAAGCTTTTATTGCATTTTTGTTTTGCTACATTCGTATTTGTCACAATATTTTAATACAACATTATGATTCGTATTCGAGAAACATTGCACACATATATAACACTGTGGAACATTTTTGAGATTATTGTTTAAGGGGTGATAAATTCCAAGTCAGGGTGATGGTACTAGGTACAGTATAGTAAAACCCTCAAAGGGTTTGGCGTTGGTATGTGTCAGTTTGTTTTTATGACCTTATGATCGCTTTTTTCCTTATCTTGATGTTTTTTCGCTTGGTTGTAACATTTTGGCAAAAACCAAAAAAAAAAAAAACAAAAAACAATTTCCGAGAATGCAAATTGCATGTAATTTTATTCTAATGTATATTATTTAATATTCTGAGTGATGTGTTACTACATCGTTTTTACATATTTATTCAATCATAAATAATGAATAAATAGTATTTAAAGTTATAAGTTATAACGATCCGAAAACATAGCGTTCAGAGTTGTATTTGCGTGAACTTATTTTATTATGCAATCCAACAACAAATTTTTTCTTAGTTATACAGTTTATTTCGGACTGAAGGATAAATTCGAATGTACACATATACATAAGAGAAACTTGTTGCTCGCAGGCAACGGGATTTTACAGTAACGAATATTGCATTGTATATACATACATACATAAATGTCTTGAGTATTTCTAACACTCCTTCTCAACGCTTTATGTCATTAGACAATTAAAAGTTCACATTTTCATTTTAATATATACCCATCATGATAATACATTTCTTATGTTTAATTTTAGAAAGGTTCTTGGTCAAGACATCAGATATATTCAGCTGATATATATTTTATTTCAATTACATTGTCCTTGACCATTTACCTGACATGATGATACTTAATATCTATAGGCTTACTGCGCGCATGGTATTTCGAATATTTTGCTAAATATTGCGCACTTTGATTGTCTCTAAATATATTTGTTGCATGACCATCACTCAAACCCATCTCCTTCACGAGTTTTCGGATATACGCTCTTTCTTTAGCAGCCGTTGACAAAGCTATGTACTCCGCTTCAGTGCTGCTTAACGCCTCGACGCCCTGTTTCTGCGATTCCCAAGAGATCACTACTCCTGCGACAAGAAACGTCCAGCAGCTATATGATTTTCGATCTATGAAATCTCCAGCCCAATCAGCATCAACATAACATTCGATGGGTTTTCCAGTTCGTTGGTAGTGCACACTCAGCTCAGCAGTGCCCTTAAGGTATCGCAAAACTTGCTTGGCACCCACTTCATGTTCCTTATGAGGGTCTGCATTACGTTGTGAAAGCTTGGTAACAGAGTTTAAAATATCTGACCGGGTTGTTATGGCTAGATAAATCAGCGAATGGTCGCCCAGAACCCCTTTTGATGTTTGACTCCTCTTCATTGCCTTCTTCGACAATACTCCATCAGACGCATAGCAGTCGGCATCAGAGTTTCCCATATTTTGTCTTTTGTAATACATGCCGACTCTGACTCCAGATTGACCAGCGGCACCTCACACATAGTCGCCGATTCATTACGTTTCACACTGTCTTCTGCAAAGAATCTTTCAAGGAAAATTACGTCACGTGCTACTATTACCTTTCCTGTATTCGAATCGTATAAACGGTATGCCTTTGCTGACTCTGAGTAGCCAACCATCACACGCTCCTCGCCTTTCGGGAGAAACTTCCTGCAATGCTTCTTGTTCAAAACTATAGCTTTGATCCCGAATTCTCTTAGATGGTTCACTGTTGGTTTTTTGCCAGATCACGACTCGAATGGTGTCCTGTCCTTTAAAGCAGATGTTTCCGAACGGTTCCTTAGGTATGCAGCCGTGTTAATAGCTTCTGCCCAGAAGCCCTCATCCAGACCAGCATGTAGAATCATACTGCGCGCCATCTCACCCAATGTTCTGTTCGCGCGCTCAGCTACACCATTTGTTGAGGTGTGTGCGGTACAGCAAGCTGTCTTTTGATACCATTGCTTGCCAGGAGTTGGTCAAACGCGCCTCTCAAATACTTCCGACCGTTGTCGCTTCTCAGACACTTTATTTCTTTTCCAGTCTGTTTCTCAGCGAATGCCTTGAACACTTTAAATTTTTCCAATACATCGTCGCGAGATTTCAAGAAACTTACATACGTGTATCGCGATTTATCATCAATGAACGTTACAAAATACCGCGCTCCTCCTTGTGAGGATTTATTCATTAGTCCATAAATATCTGTATGCACCAGATCCATTATGTCATTCGAGCGATTTTCAGTTTTCTTTGGTTTTACGCATATTTTACACTTTGCACAGGTTTCACATTTAAATCACTGCAAACTTTTGATGTTTCTAAACCATGCGCCAATTTCTTATTAATCATTTTATTCAGACTACCAATGTTCAAATGTCCAAATCTATTGTGCCATTTCATTATACCAGGCAAGATAGATAAGTAGACCTTGCACCAAAACACTTAAACGTCGTTTGTCTCTAATAAAAGCAAATCTTGCCGCTCTTTAGCCATTAAAATCACTTTCCGTGTTGATTTTGAATGATCACACTTTCATGTTCAAATTTGACAGTTAACCCCTTCTGTATTACTTTTGCTACAGATATGAAATTGCATTGAAGGCTCTCCACATATAATACGTTTACCAAATCAACTGTACTTTCACGTCAATTCAATCGCACTGTACCGTTGCTACAATAAAATTGTTTCCAGCTAACACTATTTTCTCAGTATGCCGTTCGAATTTTATGAAACTGGATTTATTACAACACAAATGTGCCGTTGCACCACTGTCCAAGCACCAAACGTTTTTTTGCAAAGCTACCGTTAGAACATGCAAACACTAAGTACGATTTTTTTCGGTCTTTGTCGTCATTCTCATTTTCGTTGTCTTTGGCGCTCTCGTTTTTTTCGCTAACTTTAGTTTGGCAATTCTTGGAGATGTGTCCACGGCGACCACAAGACCAGCAACTTACGTTATTTCGGTTTTGTTCTCCATCTTTTACATTCTGTTTATTTTCGCTTCGCGAAGAGAACATTTTTTGCTCTTCTTGTTGTTCTCTTTGCTCCTTACGCCTTTCACTCTCTTCGAGCAATTTAATTTTTAACGCACTTAATGCCGGCAAAGAATCACGCGATTGCATTGCTACCACGAAATTAGCAAAGGCGTCGGTCAAGCTTGACAACAACAGTATGCACAAACACTCTTCGGGCAGTGAAAAACCAATCTCACACAATTTTTCAATCAGATCTGTGAATTTCTCTAAATGCTTAGACATATTTTCAAATTCTGACGATTTTATATGTAATAATTGTCTTAACAATGTAACGCGGCGCGCAGGTCCCTTACTCATATGTATTTCTTTTAACCTTTCCCACACACTAGCTGACGTTTGGCAATTCTTTACATTATTTATTTGTGAAGGCTTAATGCATAACATAATACCGCCTAATGCTTTTTCATCTTTCTCATCAAACGCAGCTTCTTCTACGTGTTTTACAATACGACCACAAACTACGCCCCATAACTCTGCATGTATGAGCACACTTTTCATCTGTACAACCCACGTGCTGTAATTGGTGTCGTTCAGCTTCTCAATCGAGTGCATAACGGAATTCATATTGCCTTCTAACGCGTAATTTCACTTAGTCACTTTAGGTTATTAGTTTTCTATTTTTTTTGAATTTAACACACTTATTTGTAATTAATTAGTCACTTGTACAATAATTAAATTTTGCCACACGATTTTTTTATTTTCGAGACTAGCCTGGGCCCATAACCTCTTAGTTATACAGTTTATTTCAGACTGAAGGATAAATTCGAATGTGCACATATATATAAGAGAAACTTATTGCTTGCAGTCAACGGGATTTTACAGTTACGAATATTGCGTTGTATATACATAAATATCTTGAATATTTCTAACATTTTTTAAACTTGTACAAACATTTATTATTTTATGATTTTACGATGCTTTAAGAAAACGGTTGAAATGAAAGCAAATATGTAATTGTTACCATACCTATATTTTGCATACGGACGAAAATAAATAAAATGGAAAAGGTGAAACTGCAAATACGGTGAACAAATTGTTAAATAAAACTAATATATAAAACTATAAACTGACTTATACTCCCTACTTGTATTACATTATAAGTCCATTGTCGCTGCAACACCGGGTTCATAGTTCTTTCACCTCGAACTGTTTTCTTCATTGGCATTCTACGGCTGCGCTTCACATAATAGCGTAAGAAATGTATGCCATGATCCATATACAAAAAATGTGACACATCACACATTTCTCACCATAATTTTGATTTAATTTAGGGTTTTAAACTTTAAATGTGTGATTTAAATGACAGCATGGACACCATTTTTTTTTTTTGTTTTGTTAGCGCTTCTCAATTTGTTGATTCTTTTGTCACAGTGCCAAACATGTTTAGTGCGACTAAAAGAGTTAAAAACATATGCACAAACATATAAGTAGTGAATCTAACAAAAGCGTTATAAAAATAATGTTTGTGAAGTACTGAATATTTATATTATATTAATTTTAAAAGTATTACTATTTAACAGATAACTTTAACGCCAACGGAGACGATGTACCCGCGATAATGGAATTACCACCTCTGGGACTTTATGCATTTAATGTTACTTTGCCAACTGAATGGACATTATTTACATGGAGAGAAACTGCTTATACGATGTTAGATGAAATAAAAAAACTTAATGAGATTTTTAGGATAAATGTCTCTGTTGAGAATTACTTGCAACCAAAATGGTTATGCAATGATTTGGAAACCACGGTACGTGCATATGAACCCATGCTATTTTTCAATAAAGATTTTTTTATGAGTGGTAGTGTTGACATGAATTTACACCAGCCATTTAAACATGATTAGACGTTAGTTCAAGTTTTGAAATTCGTCGTCATCAAATTCAAAGTCATCAATAAATTCATCCCACAATTACTTAAAATCATTATTATGAAATATAGTTCATTTTGAAATTTTGTATAAAACTTACCAATCTTCATCCACATTGCTTAAAACGCAATGAAAATATTTATATGTATTCACAAATCAAGCTAATATAAACAAATATATGAATTTTTTACTATTTTATTGTCAAATAAGCGTAAATCAAATGCTAATTTTTAATTTTTTTTATAGAGATCTTTTAATTTCTATGAAATGTGCAAAAATCTGGAAACCACCGGTAACAATTTGTTTGAAATTTTGTTGGAGAACAAATATGTATTAGAGGAATTGCAGCGTTTCTCATTATTGCTAGAAGAATCTGTCAAAAATCGTGTTCGCCACACTCCTCCCCGATGCGTCAATTGTTTAAATCAGCAAGGCATTTGCAATCATGCTAAGATCGCTATTCTATTTTCTGGTGGAATTGACTGCTCAATTTTAGCAGCGTTATCAAACAAATATGTTGATGATCATGATTCAATCGATCTCATAAATATAGCGTTTGAAAGACTGAGTCCAGGTCTAGAAACCAGTTGGGATGTACCTGATAGGTTATCTGCCAAAAATTCTTTTGCGGAATTAAAAAAGTTATATCCTCAAAGGTAAATATTAGTACAAGGTAAAGAACTTCATTGAAAGATGTATATTTTTTAGAAATTGGAACTATGTCGAAGTTAATATATCGCGACAAGAACTTTATGATAATTTGCAGAGCCATATCAAACATCTTATATATCCTTTAAAAACTGTTTTGGATGAAAGTATTGGTTCTGCGTTTTGGTTCGCTTCTCGCGGCAAAGGTATATGCTTGGGAAAGGAATATTTATCACCAGCAAGGGTAACTAAACTTTAATATATTGTAAAAAATTAATTATTACAATGACATATTTTGAAACCAATATAACTGATTATTACTCAGATCAGTTTTTCATAACCACCTTATAAGCGACGTTTGTTATCAATCGTTTTCTGTTTTATAACTTCTTGAACTTAGTAAGTTTAATATAAAACAAGTAAGGAAGGGCTAAGTTCGGGTGTCACCGAACATTTTATACTCTCGCATGATAAAGTGATAATCGA